TTTCCGCAAATTGTCTAAAAGTGCCAATTCGATCCTCTTTTTCAATCGCTTGTAACTAGCGTTCTTATTAGCATTATGACTTCAAATTTGAACAAAACATAGATTTTTTGATTCTCAACAACCTCACAAAATTTTAAGAGGATGAGATGCAAATTTTTTGCAAACCATCAAATAAATTAAAAAAAAGGTCCTTCCTTAAACCGGCTATAAATAGTTGTTAGACCAGATAGAGCCATCTTTCAAAATGCCTTTTCTTAGTCAGTTGGTAGTCTAACACTGGTTAAATTTGTGTATCCCTAACTTTTTCGTAAGTATCCGAAAAATGTATCAGAAAATAGTGGTTTTTAGCAAAGTACCAGCTGTGGCGCTGGAATAGGCGCGCTGCCGATTTAGGCTACGTCCTCTTCCTCGCAATGCTTTGAAAGTGTTCCTGAGCGAGTTACTTTAAACTGACGTGGTCAGCAAAATTATCAATATCTTCTGGTCTGAGCATCGTTCATTAACATTTTTTTGCTTTAATATTCTTTTATTTAGTTTCTGTTTTTGTTTAAAGATTTTTTTGGATGATTACATTGTCTGCAGTACACCAAAAAATGAATTTTATAATAAATAATATATAAAAACATCTATAAGCAATCATAACAATATTAGTATTTGTTTATAATAATAACAAAAAATAATTTTCAAATTTTTTTCTCATAGTTGTCCCTACATGCTCTAATACAACGTGGTACTCTTACAATAATTCTATTAAAGTTTAAACTACTATGAATAATTTATACGTGAGGATACACAGTGCAATGAATGTCATACTACTATCTTTGCAGCAGCTATATTTATTACTAGAATGTTATTGATACGTGCAATCTCAATACTATCACCAGCTACCCAAAATTTAAAAAAATTGTTAATTAATGATTCTCAGATCCGGAAATATCAATAATTTTTTCTACCACGTCAGTTTGAAGCAACTCGCTCGAAAGTGCGTCAACGGCACTGAGACATGATGAGTAAGCATTCAAGAACCAAAGAAAATTATACTCGAGGTTTGAGTATGACGTTTCGCTGAACAGTTTGTCAGCCTTATCCAGTAAATTTCATTATTGTTCTTTACACATTAACTTTTATAAATTACAACATCATAACAGAAAATTACAAAAAAATGAGATAATTGAACTAGTTATATGATTACCACGAACGTTTACGTAGAAAAAGAATAGAAGTGAGTAGACACTTTCCTCAATTAGTCAATTTTCCAAGTGTGGCTGCAAAATAGTGTCTAAGCTCAGTGAGCAAGTTGTTTGCCGCTCTATATCGTATGTACGACGGTCGATAACGTACTATTCTATTAAGTATGATTATTTTTTTTAGTACAACTATAACTGCTTTTCAAAAAATGCGTAAGAGATAAAAATGATTTACTCAGCATATCAACGTATAATTTTCTTATTCAGCGTGTAGGTGTTGAGATTTACATATTTAATTTCAGAAATTATGCGCTTACCGTACACCGCCTTTCTGTCGCAAATCTCGACACTATCCCAATTAATGTTACGATCGCAGTTCGTGATGTGTTCAGAAGTTACAGAGTTAATTTTATACATGGTATAGTGTTTGCTATAACAGTGTTTTAATGGGCACTTTATTTTGCCAACATAAACGGCAGGACACTCGATACAGGAGAATTTGTACACGACCGCTATCTTTTCAGTTTTTTTGTTGTATCTTTGCCTAGTTTTATAATGTTATTTAACGGTTTGTAAATGGAAGGTAAAACTTTCATGTGACAAGGATTGAGGCTATCATTAAGTTCGCGTTAGAATTTATTGTTAATGAAATATATAAAGACGGATAATTATTTTGTGGTAGAAACTATATGGTGTGGCGCTAGATTTTGATATATTAAAAGTTTGAAATGTTACAACAAACGTATATTAAATATGAAAATTGTTAATATAACAATACAGTTACCAAAACCCGTAATTGACGTTGTATCTTGAAGAAAACCAATACAGGCAGATGTTGGTTAATAAAGCTGATTTAAGCTTTTCATAAGGAGTGAACTGTAAAATTTATTATGATTTCTGGATATGTAGCAGAAGGAGAGAAGGAAGAGGATAAGTAGTAAGCTGCAGGTGTGCAGCACGTAGTAAACACTTATCAAACAATAAAACACTGAACACAATACGTTTATTCAACAAGACTCGATTGTAACTAAAGTATAATTCCAAATTTTCTGAACGAGCTTAACAACTTTGAGTTTAATTAGTGAAGTCCCATCGCATGGAGACCTTAGAATAAATAAGTTAACTATAAGCAGTTTTATTAAGGTTTGAAACTTTACTAAGGCAGGTTAAGTTGAAACCGTTCTACTAGGAGACGTCACTCTACAAGAAGGACTTATTATTATTAATGGTTTTGCTAAGTGGTGTGGCTAAAGAAGCGGACAGACGTGGACTGGTGGTTCAGCGCTGCGCACAAGTCTGGAACACTCAAGCGCACACGCACACATATACTTACAAGTTAACATATGTAATCGCTCTTCTTTAGACTCACACAAGAATCAGCAGACTACTTTAAAATACTGGGCTTAAAAATGCCTTTCTGGAATATTCACCTGTGGAAAATAATTCTTACAGTTTTTCTAGAGGAAAATAAAACTATCAAGGGGCACTAATAGAAATAGAAAGGTGTTGAAAAATATAAAAAACTAGCTCGAAATTTTATGTTTTAGCAAGCAATTAAAAAAATTAAAATAAATATATTCTACATATTTGCAAAACTGTATTTAAATTTCAATTTTCATTATGTAATACGTCTTAACTAGGCAACATAAAAATTAAACTTTTAAACATTAATGCTGTAATTACTTTTAAAATTATAATAAATGTTAAAAAGGAACCAAAAGTTAAAGTGCAATATTTCATCTTAATAGAATCTTAGAAGGTCACTACACTAATATGTTAAGAAAGAATAATATATAATTTTATGTGCAGAATTCGGGTGTTATGAAGAAACAATGCCTAAAAGGTACTAAAGATATTTACATGATATTATTCGAACAAGTTGAGAAGTGAAAAATCCTTTAAGGCTTATACAGTGGAACAATCTCTCAACTAGCTTTCATACACTGAATTTTTGTTCAATACACTTAAGTCGGTCGTGTTACTATCAGTTACGAAAACTATTTATTATAGTTAATAGTCGACAATAATAAATTTATTATGATTTTTGAGTTTAAATTTAAGTATGGATTCAGAAATGTTTGTTGATTTAACTGTGCGTTCTTTCTTTTTAGTTTTATGTCATCTTTTAATAAAATTTATAACTGTACCCAAGCGTTAATAGTGATCATAACATAGAATACATTATTCAACAAACTGCAAATTGCCTATATTATTGGAATTTCAAATTATGATATCCTTTTTTCACGAAGTAACTGTTACTATAACACAATGAGAAACCAAAAAGGTTTAAATGACACAACTTTTGATTTGCAAAGTCATTTGATCGATGTCAAGTTTCGTATTCTGTAGTAGAATTTAAGCTACGAAGACTTTTTGGATGAACTTCTCGAACATATTTTTAATACCATAAGTTTTTTGACTAATCATCATTTCTGCAAAGAGTGATAGTTGGTAGGAACACAAAAAAATTGTTATATTATTAGGTGAACAAGATGAAATCGATGTTACGAATTAAAATGAGTATACTAAAATTGAGAAACAGAACCTGGCAAGTTATGTCATAAGTGTATACAATTAAGCTAGCGCATACTCTTTGAAGCACCGAACGTCATATTTATAGGCAGTAGAGAAACAATAACCTACCTTATGCATTAGCATAATTCAGTGATCAGCTACATAAAGCATGTATCATCTTTTATACTTTGACTTAAAATGCTGATAATGCAGAAGTTTTTTTGAAATTTTCATGTTATTCGTAGAATGGCGGCTATAATAATTATTCTAGAGGTATCTGACTACTTATTTTAAGTCGTAAAATTCATTTCACCTTATTGACCTAATAATACAAAAACAACTTCTTGTGTTTTTATCAATCACTATTCTTATCAGAAGTGATCTTTAATTAAAAAAGGATATTTATAGTATTATAAATGTATTAGGGAATTTTAAGTTATTCCAAAAGTTTTTTAAAGTGAAACTCCACCATGGAGTACGAAACTTGACATTTGGAAATCAATATCCTGAGTTTGCTGGTCAGAAGTTATATTTTCGACAATCGTTTTTGTTCTTTAGTGCGTAATAATAATAGATGATACAAAAAGCTAAAGCGCAAAATTAAAAAAAAAATATTTTGAGCTTACGTCTTAAATGTGAAAGTGATTGTTACTTAGTGTAATCATGTACCTACTTTATAGTATATGACTACTCCAAAATACTGATCCTATGTTATTATGGTTTGATCAGCAGAGGGTTGCAAACACTTCTATGTCTAAAAAATTAGGAGCTCCTTGGAAATGCATTACCTTAAAATCTAGCTTTTTAATTTTAACATATAAAATTCTTTTAATAAAATTTTAACAGCGTTACGCAACTGAAAATTATATCACTATCTGACATTAGCTAACGTGCTTCAAAATCGTTTGGCAATGACACAAAAATTTAAATTTCTGTATTCTCTAGATGATGTTTCTGTATAATCCTAGATCTTTTAAGAAAAAACTAGGAATAACTTTTCTCAGTGATTACATCTTTCATTAGTGTACTAATCAATCTCCAAAGAAGATTCGCTTGGAAGACAGTGACCTGTTTTCAGAATCTTAAAAGACAATTTTAACTATTTTTAGCACTTTTTTAGTAAGCTAAATTATATTAGCTATTGTTTAATAGTATAAACATTTTTGCTTACAATTTCTATTTTAAAATAGCATTTGTTTGTATAACTTTTATATCGTTTTTAGTTGAAGAATTTAGTTGTAACATTATATGTAGCATAAAATTTAGAGATAAAAATCAATTCCTTTCAATTTTTTTCAGATCCCAACCTATCCTTGATGAGTCTTCTGGAAAAAGTGGTGCTAAATTCTATCAGTCATATGATAAACTATTTATTATTAAAACTTTAACGAGTGAAGAGGTTGAAAGAATGCATTCATTTTTGAAACACTATCATCCGGTAATTAATTCACTTATTATTTAAGATTAAATTTCCACAATGTCTTGATATCAAATTTTTTCTGACAGTACCTAGAATCATAGTAAAAATTTTTAAGTAATGTAACCGTTTTGTATAATTTCTTTTTTTAATGTGATGCTCATTATTAACATGCTTTGTATAAAACAAAGCGTAAGAAAACATCTACTTTTAGTGCTTATTATTGTGTAGTCTAGCTCTAATAAAATAAAATATACAATGTATTTGAGCTAATAAATATATATATTTAATGAGCTGCCTCACGGTACACTAATATTTAAGTACGTAGATACGAAAAGAGAAAATAATGAAATCAACCTTATGCGATTAAATCACGTACATCTCTAACTGTTATTTACAGAAATATGCATTGTTTTTTTTTTTTTTAAACGTAGGAATAGTGTAATTCTTATTAACAGTGAATTAATGTTTTCGTACTTCTTATCTTGATTAGGTTTCTTATTCTCTAAATGTGTTATGAATTGATACACTTTAATAGCTGTTATTCTTCACATACCTTGTTGTTTTAAAACATAATAACTTTGACTGTTGTTTCTAAATTAAAGAATATTACACTACCAGAGGTAACGTACATTTTTTTCTTCATATAGCTGTTCTTTAGTTTTTTTAAAATCCATACACTTTACTTTTTAAACTTTAAAGAAAAGGCATGTGTAATACATACATTGTTGAATTAATTCTAGTTTTGTTATTATATGCAGCTTCTAGCAGTCCAATTAAACTTTGTGAATTTTCTGAAATTATCAAACTTTGTTGGAAACTCAAAAAAAATTAAAAATACTTAGTTTTTGTATTTATTTTGAGTAAATAGCACCTTCAAGTTATATTTATCTAGCTTCTTTTCATTTTCCTTGTCATGTTATACAACTTTCTACTTGGATTATTTACTTTGTTTACAATAAAGATTTTTCACGTGTACTTTTTTTTACACACTTTCAGAATTTTTACCTTATTTTTTTTTAAGCCTGTACACGTCTCTACTTGTATTATTTTTTCTTAAGTTCTAAAAATTAGAACTTACAGATAACCATACAGTTTTCCAAACCGAAGATATTGTTTATATTTTGTCAACCCATACCTTGATGAATGGATCAGTGTTCAATGTGCTTGTAGATTCCTTCCGAACCATCAGAACAGAAATGATTACTACCTATAGTTTTTGAAGAGCTCATACCACTTATTATAATCACTAACTTGTGAGGTCAGCCATACAAATCAGTTGATTTAAAATATTAACAGACCAAATTTTTTTAGTACAACGTTTCACATTACATTATATCTTTCAACGTATTTACAGGATTCTTTGCCCACGTCATACAAGTCATCTGTTTATGTTATCAAATAACTTATTTTACAACCTTAACTGCATGGTATGGCATTATCTCCACACGGAGCAGTAGAAATGGTTCTTATTTTGTAATCATCAGAGTGACGCTAGTAATTGCTTATTATAACGAACATTTTGTATTAGTTAATAATATTCTAGGTGTTAAAGCGTGTAGATATATCAATATCGAAGAAATAAAGAAGCTTACTTTGGCACCCCTACTTATACAGACTTATTTTTTGAGCGAATTTGTAGCCTCTTTTTACTAATACTTAACTAATAATATTTTATAATGCATTTTTTTCTAATAAAAAATTACTTTTAACGATCGTTAAAACTACAATCTCTGAATAATGATCTACATATAAATAATACGCAAATAATTTATTATTTAACAACTTTGTTCTTAATATTGATAATTTTTGGTTAAAGTTGAAAATTAGAACAATTTAACGATTTACTTAATTTCTTAAATTTAAAATGCATAAACATAAAAATATACAGGGTGGTGCAGATAACCTTATAAAATTTGTAGAGAAATTGAAAAAATTTAATGTAATTTTTTATGGCAGTTATGGGGTACCTACAAGGTGGGGCAAAGCTGCTCTTGGCGATACAAAGGAATGATTTTATGTTGGCCCAAGTTTATTCTTTTTATTTAGATGATAACATAACGATGATTTTTACTGAAGATATAGATATTCCTAATATGTATATTAGATAATTTTTGGGGCGATATACAGTATGGCCTAGCGCTAAAAGGACTATAACGATGAAAAAGGAAATGAGGTTTACAAGTTATAGGACTTTGATAAACATAAAGTAGACTTCAATGAACAAGATTGAAATGATGAAAAAAAGAGTTGGATAGAGAAGAAAACAAAAATAAAGAATAAAAGGCATGAAATCAAAAAAATACTAAAATATTTACGAAATAAATATTTTATACACAAATGCGACTCAGAAAATTTTAAAAGAGCCACATGTACAAAACAAACGACAATAAAGTGTTATCGTGTGGCAGCTACGTACATTGCTTCCATCCTCCCTGTAACTAAGTCAATCATTATATAAGGCATGCTATACCAAAGAAACCACCATCTATTTGAAATCTGAGTTTTTTTTCTAGAGTGTGAAGTAAGGAGACTAGAGTAATGAACAGAAAAATTTAGTAAGTATTTACGCACGATGAGAAAATTCTGATATCTATATTTATGACAAAAAAATACTTACAGTTTATAAATGTATAATGTTTTTTTTTTTTTTTTAATATTTCACAGCTGTTTCTGAGAACTATGTCCAATAAGCTCCGCATTGCTATGTTACTCTGCTTGTACATGCTATCGTCATTGGCACATTAAAACACCGCCTCAGAATTACTGTAACCAATATCTTACACAGCAATGACAACCTTATTTGACATGGTTTTCGAATCATCGGATTGTGGTTTAAAATACGCACATGAGCAATTGGTTTCTTAATGGTGTAAGGTAAGTGTGCAAAAATCAGGTCTCGAACTCGGAAGCCTATATTATCAAGCTTCCGAGCTATAAGAACCAAAACCTAAACCACCGTTCTACCGTGGCCGCTGTATAACATTGTAACCTCTAATAATGAATATTATTTACTGACAAAACTTAATTTTATGTCGTGACATAATATGCACGTTATTATGTTTTAATTCTCTGTTTAAAGAAGAAACTATCAGAAAAATAAAAAATTGAAAAGCTTAGCGAATTCTAATTTTATACATAGCTAGATATTGATTAAAAAATTATTATTTAGAAAGTGGGTATTTTTTTATTACTTCTGTTCAATATGAAATGCATCATAATTTTTTTTTAATTTTCAGTGTGAAACCTTCTATACTTTTATACTGTCTAATAATTTATTAACCTGAAAGCGTGGATCACACGATATTATGTTGACTATTGTAACAATAAAGAATCGCTGATCAAATTTCCATTACATTTACTTTAGGTCGAGTTTGTTTAAAGTTTATAAAATTCGTAAGCAATTGGCTACAATAAAATTAAATGAGATTATTAATATAAAAAAAGCAACAAATACGTAAAATAATAAAAGATTCATGTCTCACGTAAACAGTTGTATCAAGATTAAGAAAAAAATTTTACGCACCAAAATTAAATGATTATAAGCTAGTTTTTATTTAAAAAATCTTACTACCTATTAAAAGCATAGTTATGTAAATGATTTTTTCTTAACGTTTACATGAATTTTCCTCTCATAAAAGTATATTGGTACATTTGAACATTATTACGATCCTTACACAACAAGCTTTTCTCCAAGTTTGATTCAGTTGTTAGTGATGCATTATTTTTATCCATCCAATACAAATTAACGTTACTCTCCTTTATTATGTTTTTTCTTTAACTGTTATATTAAAGGGTATCTGGATAATAGAATGCCTGTTCTACTGGGATTTTATAGAAAAAAAAGTTCAAAAAATGAAAAAAAAATGAAAAAATGTAAACGGTGTAATAAATACAATCTATGTAAAGGTAGCTTTTTTTCACTGTGTCTAATCATGTTGTTATTCTACCCGAGAATACCAAAACTTAAAACCATATGGATTATTATTTATGTAATAAACAAAGGTGTGTATTCAATTATTTTTTAAGTTAATATTTATGTATATGGTTCTGTTCTATTACTTATGCGGGAAGTTCATATTATTATTGTGCACAAGACTTGTCACCCACAAAAGGTAATAAATTAAAAAGAAACCTTAAACATACATAGAGTTTTCATGATAATCTTAAGGTACTACGTAAAGTTCTATGTGAGAAACTCCGTGAGGTACTTCATAAGGTACTACGTGAGGTGAAACTTGCAGTTTTGCGTACCACAAAAAACTTCGAAGTGATGAAGTGTTAGAAGTATAACTAAAAAATTTTATTTGGATATTTTTGAGGTATCTTAGTTGGTTTACTTGTATGTAAACTTATTTCATCATTTTCCTCCTCTTAATCGACGTAAAATCTCAGTTTGGTAATTATTGATCTCATACGAATGCCATTCCTCTTTGGATCAGTCATATCCAAGTCAGCTGCAAGGTTTAACTTTACTACATTCAATCTTGTGAAATTTCTAAACTTTGGAAAGTCATGTACAAGAAAACTATAAAACAACTTTAAACCTAATATTACTAAAGCTATGCATAATGGTAGTATACAGGTACGGGCTGCTTGAGTAAATTTGTCCCGTTTATAACTACTTCCTTGCTGTTGGTTTTTATTACCTTAATTCAGTAAAATTCGTTAAAATATCTACGCCTACAAATTGAAAATTTGTTTTAGATAGTGTGCTGATATTAACACTTATTAGTTGTTTCGGATATTATAGTATGGAAGCTGACTTGCTATAAGTGGATACATTTTTGAAATGTGTGTTGGACAAGTTTTATCTACTAACTAAAAAAATACGTATTAAAAAATACTGAAAAAAATTTAATTTGTAATGAAGGTAAGGCTAAAAAATATCAGAAAATATATTCATCATATAGATTAATATAAGTGAAATTTATTTTTAAGAACTTTTATGAACATCTTGTTTATGTGTTCAAGTTGGTTTTCTGATAGTACATTTTTTATGAACACTATTTTTCTCCGGA